ACTCGGTTGTGCTTGTCGTGATCACTAGTGCCTGATTTGACTCTGCTTCTTCCCAGAAAGTCTCAGTTTTTGGCTTCTTCACAGTGCTGCCTGGGCTGCAGCAAGCCGGCCATCCCGCGCTCTGGGGCCCACCCAGCTTCCTTCTGGCACTAAAGGCAGCGGCTGCTCTGCCACCCTTCTCTACAGATAAGCATGGCTGGAAAATGCTATCTTTAGAGGTGATGAGCTTTTGTTTGGATAGAATTATGACTAGTATAAAGCCCACGCATGCTAACAAGCCACAGAGTGCAAAATAATTATTGAAAGAGAAAAGTGGAAAATCATCTGAGGGAAAAACAAGATTGTTCACAAAGTGTTGGTCCTTGTTTGTTGTTGTTTGTTTTCTGGTAGATAGAATCTACCTCTCTGCCACCAGATAACCTAAGCACTGACAATATTGTTATTTCCTTCAGTTTCTTTGGTTTAACTCATTGTTATACCTCTCCACCTGCAATCTTGATCTTTTATTCTGAGTTGGTGAGAAAAGACATTGTATACATGGCTTACCATTTAATAGACATATAAGAAAAGATTTCTATTTTGCTTTTATCTTGGTTTTACTTGCAGTGTTGGAGAATGTAGAAAATGTCTTTTCTTTATGCCCCTCCCTGTGCATTTAGGTACCTGGTTCTATAGGAAAGGCCTCCTTCTTCACCTGCAAGGATGAATATGGTCTGCCCATGTTTTCCATATGTGGATATAAGATAATGTGATTAATGTCTTACGTCTCACATATTACATCTCATATGACTGAATCACTTGAAAGGCCTATCACAGTCAAAGCTGAAGATTCTCTCTGCTTAGTATTCAAAATGTAAAGGATATTATCAAACCTCGATACCTTGAATCAATACTAATAGTGATGCCAAAAGAAATTCCTGTCAAGGGAAATAGGCATAATACTAAAGGTTGTTGTTGTTGTTGATTGACTTCAAGTTGAGTACGACTCATAGGGACCCTATGAACAAAAGGCCTGAAGCCCCTCTACAAATATCGACATTTATCAAAGATTTGGGTAGCACATTATATCTTTGAAGAGCGATAGAGTATCAAAATAAAATTCATTTTCATAATACAAAGGGATAATGGTTTATGGGAAGAAACGTAAAAACAGAAAAGTAACAGTCTCTTGGGCTCTCAATTATTCCACAGTGCAGGCTGGACATAGATTGTCTGTATGTGCTCTGACCAGAATCCCAGCAGAGAGGCTCCTTCCTTGGCCAGCAGATTGGATATGCAAAAAGAACACTTCAGTGTTTAAAATAATCCCTGCCTCACACTGCATGGCAGATTTATAGGTTAGTGGAAGAAGAGTTTTCAAAGTACTTGGCTTCTTTGATTGTTATGTGTCATCAAGTTAGAACCAACTCATAGCTAACTTTTCAGCACATTTTCAGAGGCTACATATCATACTGGAGGAGATTGCCTGTCTCTCTCCAATGGAGCAAGTAATGGATTGGAACCATGTCATTGGGTTGGCAGCACAATTCCTTATCCACTAGGCCACCAAAAAAAAAAGTATCAGAGGCTTTCCAGACTGTAGAATGGTATGAGTTGAGGGCTACAGTCTGCATACTGATGTCCTGGGAAGAACCTACGAAGCCAGGAATAAAGACCAAAGGTCTTCTCTGTCTGGAAGATGAGTTAAACCAGTTGGTCTATCTCTCTGCTGAATTCCTGGCTGGAGATGAGATTCCACAGCTACATACTGCCCTTTATCACTTTAGATATGGACAAGAAGTCATGTAGTTCTTCATTATTTATCTTTAAATCCTATTTCTTTATTATTGTTCTTTGCCATCATATCAGGACCAACTCATAAATGACCCTCCAGTGGGTTTTCAGAGGCTGTTTAAACCACGCGGGAGGAGATTGGCCATATTTCTTCTGTGGAGCAGCTGGTGGATTTGAAATGCATGCTTTGGGGATTGTGACACAGTTTCTTACTCCTATGAATATGAGCAATGCTAATTGATTATTAGAAAAAATTAATTAGGTGGTTGTTATGTTGTTATGCACCATCAAGTCAGAACTAACCCATAGCTGACCCTCCAGGAGGTTTTTAGAGGCAATAAATTTTATGGAAGGGGATTGCCTATCTTGCTTTCACAAAGCAGCTGGTAGGTTTGAATCACAAGCCTTTTAGCTGACAGTGCACTTACCACCAGATCTCTACAATTGCTCTCTGGTGTTCTACAAATCTATAAGTAGAAGAGGAGCTCTAATTACAGATAACCAAGTTTCTTTTCCAATACTTGAAACAAGTTAAACCAGAACATTCAGATAGTATAGCTGGGATATTCTTCTTCTTCTTCTTCTTCTTCTTTTTTTTAGACTATTATTCCCAAGGTATTGTTTGGAATGTTAAAGATGAATACCTGAATAATTTACTCTCTTTAATGAAGGGTGGTGGTGGTTGTTGTTGTTGTTGTTAGGTGCCATGGAGTCAAATCTGATTCGTAGTAACCCTATGCACAACAGATAAAAACCCCAACCAATTCTGAGCCAGCCTTATAATCTCTGTTCTGCTTAATTGTTGCAATTGCTGTGTCAGTTCATCTCCTAGAATATCCTTATCTCCTATGTTTCCAAGCATGATATCCTTTTCCAAGACTGGTCCCTTCTGATGCCCGAAAGCATGAGATAAAATCTTACCATCCATGCTTCTAAAGAGTACTCCAGCTGCATGTCTTCGAAGACAGATTTGTTCTTTTGAAAGTCCTTAATAAATTCAATACTCTTTTCCAATACAACAGTTCAAAGGCATCAATTACTCTTTTGTCATCCTTATCCATTTTACAACTTTCAGATGCACAGGAAATAATTGAATACACCATATACTGGATCAAACATACTTTAGTCTTTTAATTTATGTCCTTGTCTTTTAAAATTCTTTGACAGGAAAACATGGAATATTGTTATAATAGGAGGAAACCTGGGCCATAAAACCACAATCTAAAATATGTCAAAGTGGAATCAACTATCCATCTCTTGTCCCATACAGGCTTATCTATGTTTGTTCCATAGAGGAAGAGAGCTTCTACTATTTCACTCCAAATCTTTTGAATGGTATGATCAGAGCGTGATCTTCATACCAGCAGAATCTACATCATAAATTTGTGAGAAATACAAATTCTTGTGTCCTGCTACGAAAACCTCATATCAAATTGACAGCTGTGGATTAGATTGGATTGGATTTCAATTTACAGCAACTCTCCACTGATTTCTCAGACTGGTTTTAGAAAAACACTGCCTATATTTTTTTTTTTACTTTTTCAGAGGAGCAGCTGGTGAATTTGAAACACCTTTAAGTTAGCAGTCCAATACCTTCTCCACAATATGCCACATTGTTGTTGATTGCTATAAGGTTAATTAGGACTTATAGCAATAACAGATCTGAACTTGACTCTGTCCTGCACTGTTCTCACCATCTCTATTAAACTCAAGCCCATTGTTGCAGTCACAGTGTCACCTTATCTTGTTGGAGATCTTCCTCTCCTTCTGTGACTCTACACCTTTCCCATCATGGGACTGACCCCTCCTGATAACATGCCCAAAGTATGAGGTAAAGTTTCATCATCCTTGCCTCTAAGGAGAACACTGGTAGCACTTCCTCCAAGATAGACTTGTTTGTTCTTTTGGAGATCTGTGGGATAGTCAGTACTCTTCTTCAATACCACACTTAAAAAGCATTTGTTATTCTTCTTTCCTTATTCATTGTCTAATTTTCAGGTGCACAGGAAGTAATTGACAGGCTATGGATTGGATCAAGTTCACCTTAGTTTTCAAACTAACATCTTTACTCTGTATTGCTTTAGAGAGGTCCTTGACAGCAGATTTTCCAAATGTAACTTGTCTATTTTTTGACTGCCATTACATTGGGTGTTGATTGTGGATCCAAATAAGATGAAATTGTTGACAACCTTAGACCTTTCTTCATCTATAATCATCTTGCTTTTTTGGTCCAGTGGTGAGAATTTTTTTCTTCTTGATGTTAAGATGCAGCCAATGTATCAATAGCCTATGAAGGCTATCGTTTTTGATACTGTGAACCAAGTGTTTTAAGTCTTTTGCACTTTCAACAAGCAAGCTTGTGTCATCTGCATAACACAGGCTGTTAAGTTCTTCCAATCCTGATGCCACATTCTTCTTCATATGGTCCAGCTTCTAGAACGATTTTCTCAACATACAGATTGAAAAGGTACAGATAAAATATATAGCCCTAGAACACACCTTTCATAATAGTAAACCATGTAGTGTTCCCTTATTCTATTTGGATAACTTCTTGGTTCAGGCATACGTTTCACATGAGCACAATTAAGTGCACTGGGATTCCCATTTTTCTCAATGTTATCCATAATTTGTTATGGTCTGCACAGTCAAATGCCTCTGCATAGTCAATAAAACATAAAACGTGTCCCAAGAGGAGCACCCCTCAAGCACTACTCCATTCTAGGAATCTTTTGTAAGGTTGGAGCTGAGCAATTTGAGATTTACCAAGCACTCCAGATAATTCTTATATAAAGCAAAGTTTGATAATCTCTACTGTAAACACATCCTTCCTCTGTCTCCTCCTAGGAAAGCATCTTGCTAAAGTAGTTTGAATTTATGACAATGACACATATTTCATTACTCATACTTATTATCTTTATAAAATTTAATTTAAACAACAACAGCAACAACAAACTCTACTTGGGAATTAACCACACTTTATATTGTGTGGCATGAAGAAGATTGTTGTTAGCATTTATATTCTTTTGTGATTTGAGTCTCTCGTTAATTACTTATGTTCTCGGTAGCTGCTGCTTTATTGAGTGGGCCTGTGCTAGCATTAATAAACACAAACAAAGTGGAAGGTCCAGAGGTTAATGAGATAATGAAACATTAATCTATGTTTCTTCTCTAATGTAAAATGAGAAGTCATCAGGTTCATTTGATGTACTTCACATTTCTCTTTCCAGGAAGAACAAAGTATGCTAGCGATGGAAGATGAGGGTACAGTACAACTCCCATTGGAAGGGCACTATAGGTAAGATATGCACTTAAAAGCACAATCCTTGCTGTTATGTATTTGCTTTACGACTTTTCTGCTGTGTGGATCCCTGTAGAGATTTGTTGGAGTTAGGATACAATAGAAAGAAAAAATTGGAACTAGGAATGAGATCACCAAAGTCTTATTAATATCTATGCAATTATTGCCTGTGGCAGGGTGAGGTTGGGACAGTATATGGGAAGTTGCAGTCAGATGTTTTTCCTTCTCATTTCATAATTCATATTAAATCACCCCTTCATAACTTCAGTAAGCAGCACTGCTGAAAATAGTTCGAGATTAACTTCTGGCATAAATGAGATAATAACTTGATCACAGATAAATGTTATTCATTTGCTCCCAGAAAGCACACCAAAAGAGGCAATTTGTGAGTTGTAGAACTCAGTCATACTAGTTTAGAAAAATACTTTATAAAATATTCATGCAGCTTCACAAAAAAAATTGATCTTCTTTGTGTACAAAGACATAGCAAAGGAAAGTAAAAAAGCCTTTAAGATAATGATACATCTCCCAAAGTACTTGGTCCCAAATGACATATTTTTTGTTGGTTTGTTTTGGGTTTGTTTAAGTATTTTTCTTGCACAATTCTGATTTATGCAGCAGCCATTATGTAATTTTATAGTCTCAAGGTGCTTCAGGATAATTTATGGCAATGTCAATAAAAAGTTGAAAAGTTACTCTGAGGAGGGAACCTTCAATAGTGTTAAAATATCAGAATAGAAACATATCTTTAGGATGTACTTCCAAAATTGTATCTCTAATGTTTTTTGTTGTTGTTGTTGTTGTTGTTATAATCTGACAATTAACTGTATATACAAATTTTGTTTTTTTAATTAAATATTTAAATTTTAAAATTCTATTAGCTATTTATTTTCTCAAGTATATTCCATAGAAGATTAGTCTCATGTGGTACTAATGAGCCTCTCCAAAGATTTTTGTCATTAAACATGTTTGGCAAATGCTCTATACTGCATTCCAGTTTGGAGACTCACCTTGTATATTGTATTATTAAAACAAACAAAAAAGCAAAGCTATATTTCCATCTTAAAAATTAACTTTTTTTAATTCAGCATTTTCTGAACTCATGCTAACAAGACTTGGTATCACAAACATCATTAAAAGCTTGTATTCCATATAGCACTCTTTGGGAAAAATTTATCTCAGTTGATGGAAACTGGATTTCTAGTCAGACCAAGGCCTGGGCGAATTAGCAGAACTGAAAAACTCATTTCCAAATGACATAGAAGAAGATGTGGGTTTTCTCTGTACTCTTAGGGATTCTTCCTAAAGACTGAATTTGTTGCACTCTTGTTGATAACTGTTAATGAAGCTCATGTGAGCTCGACCCAGGGTCTCTGTAGACATGATTTTTTCACAAAAGAATCTCTTTCTTACATGAAGTTAAAAGAATACATTTTCCTGACTCACTGAAATGTTATTTTACTTGGATTCTGATTTGTTATTTCTGTTATTGAGTTGTATTTCTAGACCAGGGCATATGTATCCTAAATACCACCTTAACTGATACCAATTTCCAAAAAAAAAAAAAAAAAAAAAAATTAAAGTTTTAAAGGCATCTGACCTAATGTAGACCTAAAGTAATTGCATGTTCCCTACTCATTTAGCAGCAGTTTTATCTAAAGCACGACTGATATTATATATTTGATAAATATTAATTGGATGGACAATGAATACCACGTTCTGCTCTAGTCAAGATCACTGCTTTCATCAAGTTCATATTGCAGTAGAATGGAATGGGGAAGGACAGAAACCAAACAAATAGCTGCCCCCACATGGGTTCTCAGAAGATTTTCGTATTGGAGGAGATTGCTCAACTTTCTTTCAATTGAGCAACTTGTGGATTCAAACTGCCTGCCTTTGGTTGACAGTGCTGTTCCTTATCCACTACAATACTAGAGTTTATTGGATGATGAAAAAGGGAACTAAAAGCAAACAAACAATAGATTAGAGTACTAGGAGGGACTGAAATTGCTATTTTAAATGGCATAGCCAGAAAAAGCCTCTGTGAGAAGGTGACCGTTGCACTAAAGAGAGGAAGAGTTGCAGTATTTGCAGAAGCATTCTGGTAAAGGAGAGGGCAAGGACAAAGGCCTTGAGGCCACAGCTAGCTAATCCTTTCCAGAACAACATGGAGGCCATTATGGCTGGAGAGGAGCGGGAAGGTGCAAGGACCTGGAGATGAGGTCAGAGAGAGTGTATCAGAACCCTAGAATCTCATAGGCTTTGTGAGGGCTTCAATTTTTATTCTGCGTACAGCTAAACCACTGCAGGCTTCTGAGCAGAGTAGTGATGTGATGGAGATTTTGTAAGACTGTTGAGTTCTGTTTGGGATGGGGCAAGGGACTAAGCAATCAACATGCAGGGCCTAATCTCTCTCATTTCAAATTAATTATGAAAATTGTAGCCAAATGTTACAGAACTAGGATTTTTTTTTTAAGATTTTTCACAATTTTTTTATACTTGACAGAACTATGTTAACATTTCTCCATTTTTAATTATAAACATGCTGTACAAAAGGTACATGCTTAGTTTCTACCATAGAATCTTTGCTGTTACTTAATTTCATTTTTATTATTTCATTTTGGGTAAACGATCTAGAGATGATCCATCTGTGATAAATATTTCTGATGAAATGTCAAAGACGGCTTTGTGGAGAAATCTTCTGATTACTGCTGATAACTCAAAAGATAAGGAGTCAAGCTTTCCTTCTAAAAGGTTTGAATTTTAACATGATGAGATTATATGCCAATTCCAGTCATTCTTATGACATGAAACCACTAGCAAAAGAATGAATACTGGTTTCTATTAAGTTTAGAATACAAAGTATTACAGAAAATTTTTTTAAAGTGGGTAGAAGTTGTGATTCTCCCAAATGTTTGGGTGTTTTCTCCCCAGTATCTACCTTTCAAATAGGAAGCTCACACTATACTACGATGGCAGGGGAAGTGGTGCTGCAAATGAATCCCCTGTGCCTGACATTTTTGGACCCTCATTTTGACCTACTGTCTTACTGTAAAATGTTATTGCATTACTTCATCACAGTTGGTCCAGAATCCTCCCTCTCGGACGTCTGATCATAATTTGTAACCCCTCTCCTATCTCTTTAAAAACTCATGGCAAGTGTGTTGGAGATTTCCTATTTAATAGATTTCCGATCCCCCTATAACAACCCTCTGAAAATCTGCCCTAACCCCTAACCCAAAAACTTAACTCAGTAAGTCCTGTCCATTTTTACTTCTCTGTGTGTAAGCACACAAACAATTCTTGTAGTTACAAATAATAGTTTTAAATGCATGCTGGGGGAAGAGTTTATCTTTAAATATCCAGAATCATCATAAATTTTCAGACTTTATATGTAAGAATTTAAAGCATCCAATCTTAGATGCTGGTCTGAAGAAAAAAGGGATTCCTGTATTTTGCTAGAAATTATTTTTTAGGGATTTGGGACAGTATTTACTGTATTTATTAAGTTCTTTTATTTTCATAACCTTAAATTAACATTTTCTACTTAATTTTTGTATTACATTTTTTTTTGTCATAAGCTCCCCTTCCTAATCACTCTAGAAGCTGATTCCCCAAAGGTAAGACCCACTCCCTCAAACCTGCTTCTTGGTTGCATATCCTTTTGTTAAATGGTGTCTTCCAAAATCCTAGTCAGCCCATGTCCTCTGTGTGCATTCTGGGGAGACAAAAGGCATGGAGAATCCTGGACTCAGATCTTCTATCATGTTGTATGTGTGTTTTTGTGTCTATTCTTCCCTATAAGAAGGCTTAAAACTTAATTTAAAAAGTTTCCCCTACAAGACTTGTACAAATGTATCCTACATAAATCAATAAAGACCACATAACTGCATATAGTAATGGCATAAAATTTCTACAGCAGATAAAAGAAAGTACATTCCTTAAATTAAGCAATTGCAGAGCTATGAACTCCCATTTATGCAGCATCCTGAGTCCATACCTGCTACTTTATCTGACTTTATGGAAAACATTTAGAAACAAGAGCTAGAGAAGGAGATTACATTCAACTTGGAATATGTGCATGTTGCTGCTGGTCTTTGTCTCCCCAAAATAGCATGTTGCTTCAGTGTTGTCTCTATCCCATATAGCATAAACAAGGCAAACAGTGGTTGACCAGAGAGCCTTCAGAAGGTGGACTTAGTCCCCATTTTTGCTCTCAGCTTCTGTATCTCTCTCCCTGCCTTCTTCACACACACTCTGTCTCTTTCTCTCAATTACCTCCAACACCTACTATAAAGGAGGTAATAAGAGGGACTCAGTACTCTCTTGAAGTCTTCGGGATTATGTTTGCTTTCTTTTAATAGGGGGTAGAAAAATCTTCATGTATTTCCTTACTTGGCTCAACAATAAATAACATTTTATTCTAAAATATCTATTTTTATCTTCATTTTCCAAAGACCCCATTTACAGTGGAATAGAATCATCCTCAAAGTGATTGTTTTGCTGGAACTCTTAAAAAAAATCAGTACATTATAAGAAGAGTAACTTCTCAAAACCAGTGAAATATGAGCTGGAGGACTTTTTTTATATTGAAAATATGGCTTTGTCTGATATTTGAAAAATATGAAATCTAGATTTGAGGTTTAAAATAAAATTCTAGCCATGAGAAATGTGTGGGGAATTTGAGAAAATCAGAATTGTAGATTTAGTTTCTTCTGTGTTCTATACATCAAACTTCCTCTTTTTTTCCTTTGATCCACACAAACTTTTTTATAACATGATATTTCAGATAATTCCCAAAATAAATAGCAATGCCAAATAATGACTTTCATCAGAAAACCCTAGTTTTGAATATTCTTTACATAATTATTTGTTTCTTATTGTTTGACCATCTATTCCATCAATATAAGGTCCAAAATACTGCTAAAGTGAAAGTTTACCCAACTCTCTTTACTTTTCAATGTGATAAAATTAGTAATTTTCTGTGTTAAAATATCTCTAAAAATAACTGGCAACTAAATATACCTCTCAAAACTAATAACAATTTTTTAAGCCAATTCATTTCTCTTGGTATATATTTAAGGCATTAAATATGGCATTTGTATTAACCTGGAACTGTGGAAAAACTTGATACATGTTGAATAACTGTTGGTCCCAAAGACGTAAAGAGCAGGTTACCAGGATCTTGTCAGCTGAGACCTATGCTGATTTCCATTCAGCATTTTATACCCAGCTAGTTGTTGTCTGTTCTAACACCCTTTGTTCAACGTCTTGTGTATCTGTGAGAGAAACCTAGCTGCCTTTTCTTAGTTGTGTTTGGAATAGCAGTTGTATTGTATCAGTTATTTCATTCCTTTCACATTGTTGGAAGTATTTGCCTAATATAGCAAAAAGGAGAATCTAAGAAAGAATTAACTGCAAATTCTACCACATTTGCAGAATCTAATTTTGAACCTTGTTTAACAGTGAATGTACAGGATAAGCTCTCCTTGTATCATTCTGAATATACTAGTGAAAACAAGTTTAATTAAAAGCTTAGGGGCAGTGAGTTTATGTTAATGGGATGAACAACTCTGAACAAGAGGGTGGAAATGCAATCAATGTCACTGAGTTTTTCACATAGAAATTGTTGGATTGATGTGTACTGCTGAGTATATCCTCAGCAATTAATAAGTAAAATAACTTAAAAGTTCACAAGGAATAAGATTATCATATAGCCAGGAAAAAAAAAACACCAACATTGCACCAGAATAGGTTAACAACTGCTGGACTGCTAAGAAAAGCAGCACCGAAATTTGCCTTGGTAACAGAAGCTAGACTCTGAGAGAGACCACCCTCCTTGTGCTGCTGTCCACCCTTTTGTCCTGAATTATTCTTTCCTCTAATTACTTAGATGTGGGTCTTTTCACTGGAGCCAAAGGCTCCTCTCTGATGGTTCAAATCCATCAATGAGTTCAAGGGAGAAAGATGAGCAATCTACTCCTGTGTGATTTACAGCCTCAGAAATCTAATGAAGGGCCAGCTCTGGGTTGGTTCTGCCTCAATGGCAATGAATTTTAAGTTTGTTTTTCTTTAAGGGGGGATTCTTTTCATGACTTTTGGTATTATTTCTAATAGCCACTTAGTTGTTGTTATGAGTAATATTGGAAAAGTACGTTTCATAAGTCATTTGACAGCTTCAGAGTGCACGGTATTTGCTCTCTCATGCTATATTACTCCCTTATGTACAGTCTCCTTAATTATGGACATGGTTACTTAAAAAAAAAAAACAAAAAAACCAAAGTAGGTTGTTACTTGAAATAACTATTATGTAAAAACGGAGGATGACCATGTTTTATCACAAAACACAAAATGACTATATTGTTATCTAACTTCCAACCTATGGGATTAAATAACTGGAGAGCTACATCATTGTATAACTTCCAAGCAACTGAGAGTCATGGGCCTGCCCAACTGATGTTACAAGTTTCATCATCACAGCCAGTGCTGTTCTTGCCTTGTACTGCCTCTGTACTGCCAGAATTATGTCACTAGTGTGTAAATATACTAGAATGATAGGTTCTATACCATGGTCTTAAGTACAGAATGTTGGATATTGAAATAGTAAATGAGGAGAACTTCTCAAGGACTAAAACAGTCCCATTCATCTTTTATCTCTAGTCCTTAAGAATTCCTGGCATATAATAGATGAACAGTCAACAGATATATTTTTATTATGATGGTAGAAATTAGATATGCAATGTATGTTTGTTATAATGAATATTGAGATTTGATTGCCATCCAGAAAAATGAATGTAGGAAGAAAGAGAGTAATAGCCATCGTAAAGACATGTGCACTGATTCTATTTTTATAGTAACCTTAAGATGATTATAAAATTTCTTTTTTATACCTTGATAAAATCTAATGTGACACTAAACCTATTGCTTTTAAAACATAAAAAGAAATGCCTAGCAATTTAAGCAGCTATTGGTTTGAACCAAACAACCAGCATGAACAAAGCATGGCATTGGGAGTAACCGAGTCAGTTACTGTGAACCAAGTCAGCATTCTGAATATCTTTTACACAACTTTGGGAGTACTAGTAGTATTTGGAATCCATTAATTTTTGAAAGATTATGGAGTGCGTCCTATACTCTAAAGTATTATACACATAGGCATTGAACATACGTTGTTGTTGTTCTGTGCCATTGAGTCGCTTGCGACTCATAGTGACCCTATGTACAACAACCCTAAACTCCGCTCTGTCCTGTGCCAATCACACTGTCTCTGACATTGCCATCCTGATTACCCCAGACACTGAATCAATCCACCTCATAGAGGGTCTTCCCCTCCTGTGCTGTCCCTCCACCCTCCCAAGCATTATGTCCCTCTCCAAGAACTGGTCCCTCCTTACAACATGTCCAAAGTATGTTAGAAGGAGCCTCAGAATCCTTGCCTCCAAGGAGCCACCCAGTTTAACCCTTTCCAGGATGAATCTGTTTCTTTTCTTAGCCGTCCATGGTACCCTCAATACTCTATCCAACACCACACCTCAAAGACGTCAATTTTCCTTCTATCCTCCTTAGTCACTATCCAACTCTCTGATGCATAACAAGTGATAGTAAAGACCATGGCCTGTATCAGATGCATCTTAGTCTCCAGAGAGACACCATTGCTCTTCAGTACTTTGGAGAGGTCCCTAACAGCAGATTTTTTCATGGCAATATGTCTTCATTTCCTGGCTACTGGTGCCAAGAGTGTTGACTATGGAGCCAAACAAACTAAAGCTGTGAACAAATCTCAATCTCTTCATCCATTCTGATGCTGCCAGTTGGTCCAGTGGTGAGAATCTTTGTCTTCTTGACATTGAACCTCAATCCATATTGGAGGCTGCAGTCCTTGACACTCTGCAGCAGGTGCTTCATGTCCTCTTCAGTTGCAGCAAGCAGAGTTGTGTCATCTGCATAACGCAGATTGTTGATAAATCGTCCACCAATCTTGACTCCACATTTCTCCTCATAGAGCCCAGCCTCCTGGATATTATGTTCTGTATACAGGTTGAAAAGGTATGGAGACAGGACACATCCCCAGCATACACCCTTCCCAATTTTGAACCATGTAGTGTTTCCTTGCTCTGTTCTGACGACTGCCTCATAGACATATGAATTTTCCCACTTCCATCACAAACTCATACAGATGTTCTTAAATATAAGGATTGGTCATTGTATCTTTGAAACAGTAGAGCCCATTGGAACTGGAAATCCTTGTCTCAGATTTCCGGAATTTAAACTAAAAGAGAACCTAGAAACAATCAAGTCCAAACTTAATTTTACAGATGAAGAAACCAAGCCCCAGGGCAATTACATAAGTAGTGTGAAGATAGACAGTCTTCCTTAGCTTCTGATAACTAGAGCCATGCCATCCAACTCCAAGCCTAGGTGTTCTGCAGTGCACTGGGCTGCCCCTTTCATTGGGTCTGTTTGGCAGACGAGACTGGGAGCCAGGTAGAGTCCAAGGAAAAGTTAATTTGGAAAGCAGGGAAGCTGTCACTTGTCAAATGAAAAGAACTTTAAGTAGAAGAAAGTGAGTCATACAGATAGAGGAGTTAAAAATACAGAGTTAAGGCTCTCAACACATCATGTGCACACTGTCATCTCTTCTCATGGAAAGAGAAAAGAAAAGTGAAAAAAAGTGGCTTTGCTCTGACCTGTAAGTAGTATGTGCTGAGAAGTGTGGCAGGCATAAACCCGGGTGCCATAGACACTCGCTCACACCAGCTCTCAGTGCTGGCAGCGTGCCACAGATGGCAGAAGCTCCGGCACTTCTTACCTGATGGTGCCGGGTGGTGGTGACAACTGAGAAGGGCTGTTTCTAGCTTGAATTGGAGGAAAAACAATTTAAAAAGCACGCTCTTAGAATGTGTCTAAGTTATTGACCACTGAGGAATCAGCTGCACAGGAGGCCTATAAAAAAGGGAAAAGGGGGCTTACCTGTCCTTTTGTTACTCTGAAAATTTATAAAACCAAGGATTCCTCCACTACCAATTATTTTATATATTTGCATGTAAGGTCAAAATAATAGTAAAAAATGGGGGGGGTTCTTCCAGCTGATGGCCTTCAAGGCCCACTGCTGGCTGTCTTTCATGTCAGAGCCAGAGAGGCTACAGATGAGTGGACTTGACATGTGCTGGGAGCAGCTGGGGAATGAGCTCTTCTTCCCCCTCTGGAAGCTTACACTCTGCTCTGTGTGAACTCCATGCCTCTGAGCACTTTATATGAATTGTTCATGAAAACTATCAACGTGAAAATAGGAAAATTGTAAATGGAAAGAAAACTATTTTTAAAAAGTAGATAAACATGATAGAGTCCTTTTGTCGGTTATCCCACTGTGAAGTTAACTGGTGAAGTGAGACAGAATAAGAGTTACTTTGGAGTGTGTTTATTCTGAGAAGATTGAGATGGAGCATTGACAGGCAATAGTTTGTGAAGAAAGGGAGACAATAGGTATCTGGAGCCAAGTGTGCAGTGTGACCCCCTCCTCTAAACCAGTGGAGCCCAAGACATAATCCTCCCCAAGGAGCTTCCTGTCATAAAGGATGGAGCGCTTGCAACAGGACCCAGAAATGCCTTCTGTGATGTCTTGTTTGTGTCACTTACTAGTGTTGGGTCTGTCTTAAAATGGGGGCATGCCTAGCATTTTCAACAATCAGTGATATATTTGCCCAAATGAAGACCAGGGTATTAATTTTGCATGCTTTCAGAACTGTTTGGGGGAAAAATGTCTGGTTGATTTCTTATTTGTTTGTTTTTCTTTCAGTTCTTGGTTTCTATCCCATTGAGCACAGAGGATTTGTTGCTATCAATCTATGCTTCACAGCATGAGAGAGCAATGCCTAAAGGCTCTGGTGGGGCTTTGGGGTTGATGGGTTTGGTATCTGAGAAAGCAGTTCTCACAGTTACCACACAGGATTGCTGTAATACATTTCTCCTTTTCCTTCCATAGCAATGAAAGCCGAAAAGAGAAGAAAGCTGACTCAGGGAAAGGTGTTGACAGGGAGACTTGTCTATGACTTGATCTTCAATTTATTTTTTAAAATATATGAGAAGAGTGCCACAATTAATTATTAATAAAACTACTTTGATCATACATTGTAAATTCTGTCTCTCATCCCAAATCCACCTTCATACTGTAAGTAGTGCAATACTTGTTTCATTTCTGTGTTTAAACTCTGAGCAGTGAGACACCCTTGTGAGAATATGCAATAGCTAATGTAAGAACCTTTGTGTTCCTTGCTCTGTTAGACATTTGCAAACATTGGATTCTCATTGTCAGTTTCACGAGAGCAATAGCTTTCTTAAAAAGATAAGTCATATTTATCTAGTTTGTATTTTCCTACTTTAGTGACCTGAAGATGCCTGATAATTTCATTCAGAAGAATTTTGAAAGGTAGTCTTACTTCTTTTTATTTTTTATAGCTTAACATTAGTGACTTATTTAAAGAGGCCCAAATCAAAAAGTTAGTCTGAAAGCTTTTTTTAAATAATTGTATTTATGCATTTCCTTGATTTAATATGATACGTTTAATACTTAGGAATTTATATGTAGCTAAAACTGAAAGTCATTTGAAAAAAATAGAAACCTCTTCACAATTTGTTAAAAAGAATCAGACACAAATGCAAAATGCCAAGTAGATTTGTTTAAAATTCAAGTTTGATTATATGATAAAATCCTTGGCTTGTATGGGATGCTATAGGAAAACTTTGTAATAGTTTTGTGGGATTTTCAATACAAACCTTTATCAATTTGCTGATAAATTTCTCCCCCTAAACAAATATTTTCCCAATAGACCTATCATATACATACTTGTGGAATGCCACATGATGAATTGTACGTGAAATTTCACTCCTGTGCAGATTTCAACCGTTAATAATCATGTGCTACTTAATGCTGCTTCTGAGTCACATCCTAATGTTTGACAGATCTCCAATTGTAAATTTTTTTTTTCCTGCAAAGCTCTTTTCCACTTTTTTATTAAATGCATGACGTGGAAAAATAATCTTTTGAATGAAAATTTCAACTTCTGTTTGAGAAGGGTCTGTATCTATTTCAGTCCAATCCATCTTTGCTAAACTTATACATGGGGAAGTAAAGTTAAGAATTTTTTATAATTATTAAAAATCACTATTTAATGTCATTATAAATGAAATTGAAACTAATAAAGACTAAGCCTCAGAGTTCCTAAAAGTCACTAGTGATCATCAACATTATACTACTTCAGTGTCCAGTTTTACAACAATGCAGGGCCATGTGGTTGTTCCAAACAATTACTTACTCTGAGGGTAGCGCACATCCAAAGTGAAAAATGAAAAAAAAGTCCTTTTGTGATTTAATAAGGGAGAGGCAAAAAGAAAGAGAAATCCTCCATTCAGTTCAACATTTTGATGCCTTCAGAAAAATTCCCCTCACAATCCTTTCAATTTTTATGAAACATATATTATGGGAAGAACAATTTACATTCATAAAGTTTGTATTTATAAATGCCAAGGTAAGATATAGAAACTTCCCATTACAAATGTGTTGCCTTTGTGTATTTTATAATAAAGATACTATACTATAATGTAAGCATTTTCATTATTATATGATTTAGACTTGCTGTACTTGCCAGTCAGTCCTAAAAGCAGCCTCCTAGTGTTTTAATATATTTTAAACTGTTCTGTTAAAAATGATCATAGTGAATTAAAAGCGTCACATGATCACCAATTTGAATATAGCAATCATATCCAATGAAATTCTGTATTTCTGAGTATTTTTATAGTTACTATGTTCTTGTGTGAATTTTAATGCTATTCTTAAGTTAATCTTAATATTTTGAAATCATATAAATATAAGAAAAATGTACTGTTATATATTTACTCCTAATTTCCAATTCCTGGTCAAAATTGCTGAATATCTCGAATGTAATTTATTGCAAAGTTTAAGTAATGTGTAAATGTGACTAGGATATTGTGTTTTTCACAACTAAGAAATGTTATGTGAAAATAAATATTATAAATATATTAATGTCCTTGCACATTTTAAATTGTGATGTAAAGTTGTATGTGTGTACGTGTGTGTATTTTCTCACAGTATTACTCAGTAAGTCAATGTAGAAAATTTTGATTGGACATAATATTTAAGCTATATATTCAAAAAGTTAAGAAAACTTGATGATATAGACATCTAAAGGTTGTTCTAGCAATTTGAACTTTATTAATAGAAAATGATGAAAGAGAGCTAGAGCAGAAGTTGGCTCAGCAGTAACTTATATACTATTTTAGCTAGAATATATATTATCATTTTCATGGAGAGCCATGAGTTGAGTACAAATGGCATTTCCATGATCAGTGAAAGCTTCTAAGGTGATTAATAAGATTCCCTCTTATTGAGAGTTCTGGTAACTTAGTGGTAAGGAGCTGTGCTGCTAACTTGAAGGCATATGGTTCAAATCCACCAGCTGCTCTATAAGAAAAACATAGGCAGTCTCCTCCTACATGATTTACTGCCTCTGAAAACCTGTTGGAAGTCCAGGTATGAATTGGTTCTGACTTGATGATTGTTGTTCTTATTGTTAAGTGCTGTTGAGTCACTTGTGACTCATAGCAACCCTGTGCACAACAGCTCTGAACTCTGCTCTATCCTGACCCAACTTCATCATCTCCAAAACACCTACCCCCAATACCCCAGTCACTGAGTCAATCCGTCTCATCAAGGGTCTTCCTGTCCTGCACTGTCCCTCCACCCTCTCAAGCATGATGTTGATGTCCCTTTTCCAAGGACTGGTCTGTCCTTGGTATATTCAGTACTCTTCTCCAGCACTGCAACTTGAAAGCATCAATTCTATTATACCAACCCTAGTCATTAATAGTTAACAATTATTGGTACTTCTTAAGACATTTGTTTTTTTCTCTAATGAGAAAAACATTTCCTAAAATTTGGCACTTTTTTTAACAATGAGTCAGATGATAGCATTATTTATTTTTCTAATCATTTACAGGATATTGTACAGATAACTGCATTCAGAACTCTAATGTGTTGATTAGTATTTTTCTGTTGACTAAAAATCATTTAGTGAAATAGGGGAGGTAGTATTGGTTCCCTTGTTATTGCTACTACCCTTTAGCTAACATTGCTCAGTGTTGGTAAGTTTCCCCTAAATCTGATTTCAATGTCTTCCTGATGTAATTTAAACCTATAGTTCAACAAAAAATTTTATACTGTTGGTTCACAAATGACATATACTTCAATACAATCTTATGTAACTTGGATTTTTTTTTCTCAACTCTTAAAATTGTGGCTTATTCTGTTTCCTATCTTTACTTACTTATCTTTGTCTAGTTTAATCTGTTTACCCATGTTCACTTTACTGTTATCGTTGCAAGATTGCTCTCCAGATTTTTCAAGATCACTTATTTATACAATGAAACAAAATTAGAACCATTTATACAAAGAGATAAAATTAGAAACAAGTCAAAGTTTTAAGACAGCAATTTGGAAAATATGAAAATTTCCTAAATGTCTACTATCAAGAAGCTCAATATTCAAATATTACTGATAATACTTTATTTTATAGATCTAAATTGGTATTCTCCAATAAAACCATTTTTCAAATTCAGGTCTGTCGTCATATTATTACCAGTTTTTGTGCTGGAGATGGGAATAGAGGACCATGATCTTTGCTTCTAAGGTGAGATAAATATTGTAGTATAAGTGTGATTTAAGTCTTGGATTGTCAATAATTAAAACAGTCACTAGGGAGCTTTGGTGGCCTGTTGTTGCTGGGTGATGCCGAGTACACTCATAGCAACCCTATGAACAATAGAGCTGAACCCTGTCCTGTCATATTCCAACCTCAGTGTCTCTGTCACAGTTGAACCCATTGCTGCTGTCACCATCTCAGTCCATCTTATTAAGAGCATCCCTCTCCTTCACTCACTTCCACCCTTCCTAGCATGATGCACCTCTCAAAGGAATAGCTTCTCCTAGGAACATGTCAAGTTATATGAGATGAAGCTTTGCCATTCTTGCCTCCAATGAGCATTCGGGCTGCACTTTCTCCAGGACACATCTATTTGGTCTTTTGACAGTCCACAAGATATTCAATACTCTTATCCAATACCACAACACAAAGGCATCAATTCTTCTTTTGTCATCCTTATTCATTGTCCACCTCTCTCATATAGCAAGTGATTGAAAAGGCCTTGGTTTGAATCAAGCATGCCTTAAAATTATGCTAAACTGACATCATTGTTCCTCTGAGATTTGAGAGGTCCCTGAAAACAGAATTTCCCAATGCAACACATCTGCTGATCTCCTGACTTGTTGTATCAAGAGTTTATTGTAAGATGAAGTTTTGACAATTTCAGTCTTCTCTATATCTATCGTGATGTTGCTTCTTGGTCCAGTAGATTTTTGTCTTATTAATGTTGAGATGCAATCCATATTGAAGGCTATAGTCCTTGATCTTTGGTAGCAAGTATTTTAAGTCTTCTTCACATTCAGCAAGCAAGGTTGTATCATCTGTATAATACAGATTGATAATAAGTCTTCCTCTTATATTGCACTGCCAACCCAAATACAATTCTAATCCACCTGGTGTTCTGTAGGAGAAAGAGAGACAATCTCCTTCTGTGGGAATCTACTACCTCTGAAAACACACTAGAGGGTCAGGTATGGGTCAGTTCCAACTCAATGGTACTTAACAACAACAACAACAACAAAATTGTAAATAACAAGAATATAAATTTGAGTAGTGAAGAAGATAAATTAAAATAATAAAAGAAATTTAATAGAGAAATTAATACCTCAAAGGCCTGGCAGTTTTGAAATAAAGATGAAATGAAAAAAGTAAAGATGTTTGGCATAGTAGAAACTTGACACATTTAATGAGCACCATATTTGGAACCACGTAAATAGCCTGATATGGAAGTCATGGAAGGGTAGTGGAGATGTTAAAAAAAAAAAGGTAGAAACAGAAATACTAAGGCAATATGAATTATAAATGATGCTTAATTATATACTACAGCATTTGAT